ACAAAAATTGAACATAATAGAACTAAGAGGTTGCTAAGAAAAATTGCTCCACCTAGTAAAACATTATTCTTTTTTTTGTTTATGCAGTCACAAAGTGTGATTAAACTTGCTATAGATATAAGCAACCTGTATACTAGAAAGTCCCAGTGGAAATCCAAGAATAAATGTCAAAAGTACAGCATATAATTCTGGAAGTAGATGTGATAGTGTATAAGCTACAGTCTTCTTTAAATTTTCGTAGAACAGACGCCCTTCCGAAATTGCATTGACGATATTCGTCAGCTCTCCATTAATTAAAACCATATGTGCAGCTTCCTTAGCGAAAACACTACCTAAAATTCTCGTTCGGACATTTACTACACAATCAGAATGGCAGTATAAAAGCTTTCAAGTGTTTGGATAAACTTTATTAAAGAGAAAAATAGGTAAACTTACCTATTGCCTCTAAAGCAATACCAACATCAGCTTTTTTCAATGCAGGTGCATCCAGAATCCCATCACCAGTTATTGCAACAACTTCATTACGCATTTGACATTGCTTAAAGTTACAAATAACAATAATGTTATAAATGTAAAAATGGCCAGTTAAAAATCTTTTATCAATGTGTAAACAGTCAACATGCTTGAAAATTAAAATTCAATGACAATATTTCACTAATTTTATAATGCTTCAGTTTTCATACCATTGTAATCAAACCAGTAAAAAAAAGCAAAAACCTTAATAATAGAAAGTTTCTGGGCTGGAGTTGTCCGTGCAAATACCACGTTTTGTTGCTTAAGTATCTTATCCCACTGGCTTTCTGACATTTTCTCAATCATTTCTCCATGTACAATTCCTGGATGGTTTTTGTAGGCGTCCTCTCCATTCTAGAATCCTCATAAAAAGTAGCAATAACTTAACACAACTAATTGTCATGACAAATTTAACAGTAGTTAAGAGAAAATCAGGCAAATTACTAAGCATTACTTCTCCTTTTCTAGGTTTAAGCATCCCAACTTTTTCTGCAATCGTATAAGCTGTAGAAGGATGGTCTGCAGTCACCATGAAGCATTTGATTCCTTGAAAAAGATAGATGTTAAAAAATATTAGCTGGTTGAGAAACGGTACTTTATTTGTACCAAATTGAAAATTAATCCTGTTTCCCATAGACCATGTGCATAAATGCAACTTCTCCTACGGCCTGAGAAACTCGCATTCCAATATTCCGGTATCAAAACCAAAACGCTACATTCCTCTTTGTATATTCGTTTATACGCAAGTGACAAACAAAGATCCAGCACATAATGCAAATGATACCCTAAGATGACTGTAGCAAATCGGTTCTTTCAAAAAATCTAATGGAAATATCACGACTGAGCCTACCCTGATTAAACCAATGATTTTCATGCAACCCATTGCCGCGGTAGGCGAAGGAGCTGGAAGAAAGTTTTCCAGGACTACCGAGTACCAACAATTTCATATAAGGCAATTTAATTCGTATTTTGAGAAAGTAAGCTACATAAATCTGCAACCAAAATTATTCCACCCTTCTTTTACTCGTCATGCTCTTTTATTTCCTCTCTTCCTCTCTTTTTATTTTAAACCCACCATCTGCGCCTCTTCTCCATAATACCCACGCCACACTCCTGCGAGGGGCAAAGAGGAAACAAAATGAAAGAATGAAGGTTTTTCCCAGCAAAGGATGGCAGCCTTATACAGAACTGATTAGGCTAATTAGTGGTGGCATTTTACTTTAAGACGACCTGCTGCAATCAAATTTAGAAAATCCAACAAACAACCAGTTTTTTTAAATTAAAAACTCACTGCAATTTCGTACTTTTCTGTAACAAAGTCACCCACTGTTACAAACATCTCAAATTTTCGAAGGCTTTCAGCGCCTCTTATAACTTACTAAATTCAAGCTTCGGTTCAAAAAAAAATCAAGACCTGCATTCTCTAAGCGCTTCAGCGGTACGTCAACGTCGTTTCGTGGCGCAGTATACAATGCTGCCATTGCCAGAAAGCATAGTTCGTATTCTGATGGATTGTCTATCTTCATGGCTAGATCGATTTCGTCCGTGCACTGTAGTTCAGCTGCTGCAAACGCGAGAAGACTGCATCCCATCTTCCCAAAAATTCCACAAGCATCCTGCAACAGCGTTGCCGCTTCCTGTTCATCCCGTAAACTGTGTCCGTGTTAGAGCCAAAAAAATTCTCCGACAGATTAAAAAACAAGAAAATAGTAGTTTCACAAGCAAGAAGCGTAAAAATCTGCTAACAGCAAATTTGTTGATGGTGTTTTCGTCGATGGCTAGTAGTCCCTCAGAGCAAGCGACTTTTTTGCAGTGTTTTATCACTTCTTCCGGAACACCTTTCACAAACACAAAGTATCTGAAATTAAACTAGTACCAATTTGAATAAGACTAGAATATGAAAAATGCCTGAAATAACAGATGAACTGTTCTTCTGTACTTTGTCGTTTCATCCTCGTTTTGACCGCTAGCCGTTAGAGACTTTTCCCTCACCACAACCTTATGGTAATATCTTTGCATTACCTCGTAGGCAATTTCATATCTCGTTCGTATTAACTGTGCGGAAGCTCTCTTAAAAAAAAACAGAAATACTTCCGAGACCAAACACGTCGAGTTGATAGCTCTGGTTTAAGAAAAGAATAATTTTTCCTTCTTTGCCCAGAAAAGTTTTATTGACATAGAGCAAAAAAAGTTGTTGCTTTAATATCCGGAAATTACAAAAAATGCAATGAAACAATTCAGGATAAACAGGAAACCTCTTCAACAAATTTTAGGAGCGCCACTTCAAGCGGTTGCCCGCAGATGTTTTTGTGTCGAAATGCTGCACAAACTCCTTGCAAAGACGGATTGTCCATATGAACCTCTTTGTCCAAAACATTATTCGCACTTAAAAAACATCACTGGTTTTCAAAAGCCCCGTTAACTACGTGTAACGTCTGAATACACAAATTTGGCAAAAAAAGAAGCCTAAGGGAAGTATTGTGGACAACCAACAAGCAACTAAACTTTTGATGACCATTTTTTTCTGGTGCTTCTTTTGCCTTCAAATATGATCTCAAAAATTTTGGTATTGCATAATAGAAAACGTCCATATCAACATGCTCACTATTCTGAACCATCATTGAGCCAGTAATTGCAAAATACTTTCAGTAGACTAAAGCATTTAAAACGAATGAACTTCCTCAGCTCAAAATAATAAACTTTTATAAGTTGCCCGTATCTTCTTTTTCTACTAGTTTTGCGTATTAAGAAACGGCTTTCTGAGCACAATTAATGTTATGTGATTACTTTTTAATTTGAAATTGCCGACTTTTTTAAAGCCGCTTAGTAATGAAATAAAAATCAACTACTGACCTCAACCGGTTCAGTGACTTTAGAATGATTACTAAAAGAAATTTTTCAGTAACATGTTAACGCACTTGCTTTTCATATTCCTAGAATACCCTAAAACATTGGAATACAATCGCACACTTAAAGAGTTCCATCTGGTATAATCGACAGATCCTATCGATTCAATTTGTGCCTTATTACATAAGCTCATCGATACCAGTAACAATGACTCATGATCGTTTGAATTTTCCAAGTTTAAACCTAATAGTTCATCCGTTTTCATTCTTTTCACTTTCGGAGTGTCTGAAAAAACTCATCAGTTTCCTACGCAAGTAACAAAATTAGTAGTAAAAGAGATTAAAACTCAAAGAGAAAAATGAATATTATTAAATGTATAAAACGAAAAAGAATCCATTTTAAAAAAGACAGAGAACAAACAAAATTGATGCAAAACCAACTTTTGCAAAACCGGAGATCGTGCCAGACACCGGTGACAGTTACATCATTTGAAGTGAACACACCAGTTTTGTCACAGATTAGCACAGATGTAGTTCCAAGAGTATCTACAACGTTCAGCTGTTTCATATAAAGCCTTTTTTTCGATAATCGTCGCGATACAATCATTAGCGCTGTTCCAACGGTAATTGGTAAACCTACAGATACAGCATTATCAAACTGAAAAATTTCTTTAACACTGTGAAATCACCAAAAAAATTTACTTAATTGATAAATAAATTATCAAGAAAAGAAAAAGGTAAACCTTGAGGAACGTTTGCTACAATCACCATTAAAAATCCATTGATAAATGTGTAGACAACGTGCTTGAAGTGACTCATTACAAGTCCAATAATAAATGTTATAATTCCCATTATAATTGCAAGAATTGTGACAAATCTAACAAAACTGGAAGTTTCAGCAGTTAGCCTTGATGGTTTTACCTTTGCGCGACTTAACATTCCAGCTAATTTACCCATTATCTAAACAAGAGCTTATGCAATTGATAAGAAAAAGAAAAACTTTGCAGCATTTATACCGTAATAATTTAAAAAATAAATTTTTTATTATATTTATTTTTTATTTAGCTGTACATTTCAAGAAAGCAACTATTAAGATAAAAAACCGTATTATTTCCAGTTCTGATAACGATTCCGATAGCTTCTCCGTCTTGGCACAAACAACCATTGAATGCAATATTCTGTGCTTCTAGAGCTCCAGTCTCTTTACTTACACAATGCTCATTGAATTCAAGTGTTTCCAGTTCACCAGTAATCCACGATGTCTCAAGTTTCAAATCATCTGTATAGATCAGCCGAAGTTCTGCCGGTACTCTGGCACCTGGGCTTAAAATTTGACTCAAATGTTTCAACTGTTCAAAGTGCAGTATTATTAAATATACTAAAATAATTAAACTGTTTCTTCTTTTTTTTCTTCTGAAATATATCTAGAAAAAAAAGAAAAAAAAACAAAGAAAGTCAAAAAAATTTCACAATTTTCTTTTCATCACACCTTAGCTGAACAAGATCTCCAATTACAATTTCACTGGCATTCACACGAACTAGTACTCCTTCTCGAATTACCATACACGACGTTGGAATTATAGATTGAAAACCTCTTGTTTGCTACAAGCAATAACAAATAAATTTCTTACCAAAACAATTAAGGTTATTAGTATGTATCACCAAGATTAACTTTTATAAAGTTTGCAATAAGTTAAAATTGAAGATTAGTTAGTCCTTGGCCAGTGAAAAAAAATCTGTATAATGAATAACTGGTTTTGATAAAAAATTGATACAAATCTAGTTTTCTCATACACTTTAAGTGATAACACGTAGGCAAATAGAAAAAAAAAAAGGAATCAAATTTAAACCTTGTAAGCTCTTGTTTCTTGCCAATAACTAAAAGATGAAAGTAAAACAGATATTATGACCAAAATGGCACCGATGTATAACTCAAGTAATCGAACCGGTTCTATGATATAGATGATAAAGCATATGAAAGCAGCAAAAAGCAGAAGCATTCGAAATGTGTTCAAGAACTGAGCCAAAAACATCCGAATTTCTGTTGCACTAGATACCGGACAAATAACATTACGTCCTTCGTGCATCAATTTATGATTTGCCTCATCCTGAACAATTTTCAAGAAAATTTTTTTACCACAATATTTTCAGCTCAATTTGATGTTCTTTTTATCGCTCGTTATGTTACTATCTATCTATCGATGTAAAATTATTTATTTTAGAATTTTCTTTTCTTTGATCGATGCATTAAAATTTTCAACACTTCAGCAAGGAAAAAAAGAACAGAAATAAGAAGCAGTGAGTACCCAAAGTAAATAAATAGTTTTTATAAAATCTCCAAAAAAAAAACAAAATAAACCAACGAACAACCAAACTTCATCAGTTACCTTGTTAAGTCCTCGACTATTTTTTGGATTTTCAATTGATATCCGTGACAACGGGAACAGATTATTTAAATGCTCTAAACTTAAGGTGTGCTCAAAAAAACCACAAGAAATCTCAATATCCTGAAAAAAATACATCTGAGTTTGTTTACCATTCAGTGAATCTGTAAAACAAAAGAGACAAATTTTCTTTTTCTCACAGATAGACAAAAAAAAGAACCCGAAGTAGTTGATGTGGAACGACTTCCGCACGATCATCGGTGACTTCATCTTCCACTTCCGATGCTTCGCTTGGAGCTTTACCATTTATACGGTTCCTAATCCAGGAAAGCACTTCTAAAAATTATACTGTCAGAAACAGTAGTTCAACGATGCTTACCACTAAAAAACCACTACTTTCTTTACTCTTAAAACAACAAGTATTTTTTATGGTCCCCAAAAATATTTGGTTGCAGTATTTATTATTACTATTTTCAGCATTTACTGTTCAATTGAAAATAAAATTTCTCTCTGAAGTTTACATTTGGAAAAAAAACGTCAGTTTTTCTTTTCTTAAATCGTTAAACAAATTTTGAAGAAATATGTCTTGCTACTTAATTGCAGTATAAAGTACTAAGAACTAGCAAGCAAATTATAAAAAAAATTATTTTTTATATAATCATTAAAAAAAGTAAAAGATGGTAACAGCCGTAATCAGATTTGTGTTTAAACAGTTTTATAAAATAGTTTTTTACTATTTTTCAACCCATACAGTACTTCAGTACACTTGACATATGAAAATGTAGTTTTTTGAACAAAAATAGCAAAAATTTATATTTATTTACATAAAAATTTATAATAAATAAATAGATGAATAAATAAATAAATAAATAAATAAACAAATGTATATAATATACAGATATAATATATACTTTTGTGAAGAATGATCATATCGAGAAACGAATGAGAGGAAGAGTCTGACGTTGACTTCATTTTTCCTGCTGCAGTATTTTTTGTTGGTTAACTATCTTTCGACTTTCCAAATTTTCTTATATCATTTTTGAACTCCTAATAATTTTAGGAGAATTTAAAGTGAATTATTTTGGCACTCTTCAGAAGAAAGGAAAAAAAAATCAGAAACATCAATTTACAGTTTACGTGCCTAGGAAATGGTATTGCCAACTTCACAAACACACAAAGACACGCACAGGTTCTATACATTTTGGTTTTTCTTGTTTTCACGGAGGGTATGAAAAAAATAAATACAGAGATGAAAAACCTCCAATAAAAAAATAAATTTTTTTTTTTTTTTTTGAAAAACAATATATGAATATATGTGCATTTTCTATATGTGTGTCTTTGTTGTTGTTCTGTTTTTCGAATTTCCTCCGCTTCCCCCCCCCCTTTTTTTCCCCTCCCCCCTCCCCCACCTCCGCTTCATGCCATTCTCCTCCGCACCATTGCCAAAAACAGTCAAGTGCCGTGACCAAAGGTGGAAAAAAAGGGCAAATGAATGTAGTATAACTGTCAAACTTTTGAAAAAAAAAAAAAAAAAAAAA